GTGGCAAGTGCACATACAGGTGTGACCAATATTTGGTGCCCATTTTTAGCCTTTTCAGTGGTAGGTCATATGGCCTGAAGGTAGATTAGTGTTTTCAATCAGTATTTACAGTATGCTCACAGTAGATAGACATGGTTTGTAGATAAGGGCATGGATGCCATCATGTCTGGCATGCACTGAATATTATGAATGGCCCTGCATTGGCATCCTAGATCAACCTTGATGTGCTCCCTGTCAGCCCAGTCATTTATTGACACAGCATGTCTGTTCTCCATGTTTTAGCATATATGTGATCAAGTAAAAAGTACTAGAATGTGCGTTATGTTGCTGATGTGACATAGCAGAATCCAATACTAGATTAGGAGGTAGCCAAGTTACATCAATACCAACTTGTGAATATTCATAACTATGTGTTGTTGATGTTATATGTCACAAAATGTGTGAAGCACTGCAAGTTGTAAGAGAGGCTGTAAGCTAGCTTAACATATGTATTGGAACATTCTGTGGGAGAAATCAGCTGCAGAAAATTATCTGCTGTTGGTGGCCTCAGGCTCACACCAGGCAATTTGTCAAGAGTGCTGGAATATTTATCTTCCAGATAATCAGGTTCATTATAGCACAAGAATATCCTGTTATCAAGTGCTGGAGCTAAGTTCGTCAGGCAGTTTGCCTGTGTGCTGTGAAAATCATTCACAGAGTAGTTTTTAACTAACATCATCTTTTTGGCAAGTGTCCTTAAAAGGCATTGTTGTGCTATGGAGATGATTAAGTGCTGACAGATCTTGAAAATGTTTGGAATCTACCAATAATACCACATTATAGTTTCAGTTCCTAAGATTTCTCCTTCATGTTTTGGAAGTTCCTTGGGGTTTGCTCCACAGTGGTGCCATCCTTTCTGCCAATGAGAGAGCTGAGCAATGCTGTGTAGCCTCCGCAGCAAGTGTGTTTTGAAGCCCCGCTGATAATCACATCATTTAGAACTACCCAACATGAGTGACATGAGCATGAGAGTCATCAGTCATGTGTAGTCACATCACATGAGAAGGGTGGGACCAGAGCAGCAATTGTGGCTGTTGAGCTTTGAAATGACATAAGAGTGTTATGGCCATTATAATGCTCTCATGGCCATTAAAATGTTCTGCATACATTATAACCTGATAGTACTTCATTGCTGAGCTATCTTCCTGCACAAACAGTATCAATAGCCAAGTGAGCTCCATTGAACAGTTCTGCATTTGTACAACTTTGTATGCTACACATATAGTACTACAATTTACACAACCGTCTTCTTGTTACAGTACCATGATGACTGCTGGCACTGGAGAAGATGGAGCTGTTGCAGTTGAATTGAAGCAGAATGGGCATTCAGACAGTATTGGTGACAGTGAGGAAGGCAGTGAGAAGGTGACAAAAACTTCCAAGGATGAAAGCATCCCAACAGAAAACAAACATGATGCATCCCAGGATATGGATACTGGTGAGTTTTCATTGCAAGCTCTATAAATTCTGGATATGCATTCATTCCTTTCCAAGTCAGCTTCCACTTTCACCCTTAATTTTTTGGCATAGCTGGCTAATTCCTGCATCTTGAATGTGATCCATGCTTCACCTTGTCACAGACTTTTGTGTTTTTAAATTGAATAATGCAGTTTGCCTTTGTTATAGATATGTTTGTCAGATTATCATGTTTATCATAGAGCATATCATGGTTGGTATGCTGATATTTGTGTTGTGGGACAAATAAATATTTTTGACAAGATTGGTGCTCTGAGGTTTTCAAGCATGGAGGTAATGTGATGGTTGTATGTCACACTTTGATCATGCTGGTGCCCTGGGCCTCCAGGACCCATCGGACTGCTGACTCCCACAGACTTCACCACAGCTCATGGTGTTTCAACAGTCCTATGTCCACCAGTTATGTAACAGTCCACTGACACCGGGACATTCCTAGAACCCCTGCTGACTTGAAGAGCATTGTGGTCCATGGTGTTAAATTTCCTGCTTTTGAATTGAAAATCTAACTGGTGTTAATTCTAAGGTCTTGAATGGTCAGTTGTACTTTTTTGTTGGCTCCTAATGGAACATATTTATTTCAATTGTAGGTAAATATTATTTTCACCAGTTAAGTGGTTCATCACCTTCAAATTTTGAGTGCTCAGTCTGACAACAATCTTGGAGTGTCACTTGTTATTGATACCTGGACCATTACTGGGGCTCCCTTTATTAATACTGTGCAAATGTTATAATTTGCTTCTGAATGCCATAGTTTGCCCCCCCCCCCCCAAAAGAAAAATCATGAAATCACTCGAGCTTTATTCCAATCATTTGACACTTGTGTAGCTTGCATATGAATGGGTCTTCAGTGAATGAACATTTATTTTATAACAATATGTACAGAGATCCCAAATAACCTTTCTTTTTTGTATATTTCATAGTCTCAATGAGGCTATGAATTTGTTTGTAAATAAACAGAGTGGAGCGGGAAAGATTTTCGTACAGAGATTAAAGTGAAATCTACTTGATTTGTGCATAGTAGTGTCACGAACTCACGGTGAATGAATGGATCAGGAAAATGAATAGCCTAAAGCTCCCTAAGTTTTATGATGCTTTCGGAAGTATTTGGCGGCTGGTCCCTCCATGTTCAGTGCGTTGTTTGCAAGTCTCCCGCGTTGCACGTTGCGAGCGGTGACGTGGCGTCCATACCAGACACTCGCGCCCGGCTGACCGGACACCCAAAATCGGCTGGGTAACCGAGGTCGATGGTCGCCGGGACTGGCGCTTGTCGGTCGGCTCCGCCCCCCTGTGTTACCTACACACACCTGTCTGTGTTCTCGGTAGCCGTGGACACGGCCGCACCGGTGGAGAACGGCCGCGTTTCGCCAGCGGCCGGCGCCGCCGAGGCGGAGCCTCCTCGACTCGACGGCTCGCCGCCCTCGACGCCGCCGCAGCCGCCGCCGTCCGGCCACGTGGCCGTTATCCGCAAGCGAAGCAGCGAGGTGGCGGACGAGGGCACGGCTAAGAAGGCGCGTCTGGAGTCGAGCGAGCGCGCCACGCCTCTCACGCCCGACCTCAGCTGCCTTCGCACTGTTGAGCTGATCGAGGCGTCGCTGCACAAGCTGAAGCGGGAGGTCAAGGCCATCGACCTGCTGGCCCGCCAGAAGGAGAAGGAGTGGGACAACCTGCTCAAGCTGCGCAAGGCCAAGGAGGAGACGTTCCAGCGGCTTCGGCGTAAGCGAGAAGTGCTGCTGATGCAGCAAAGTGATGAGGCGTCGGGGCAGGCGCACCGCGCGCCTTCCGCCTCGCCAGCCGCCTCCGCCGCCGTTGCCGCCGCCGCCGTCGCCGTGCCGGCCGCCACGCCCATCTCGTCTGTCAGCCTGACACTGGCGCAGGCCCAGCTGCAGCAGCAAAAGCAGCAGCAGCAGCAACAGCAACAGCAGCAACAACAGCAGCAACGGCAGCAACAGCAGCAGCAACAGCAACAGCAGCAGCAACAACAGCAACAGCAGCAGCAACAACAACAGCAGCAGCAGCAACAACAACAGCAGCAGCAGCAGCAGCAGCAGCAGCAGCAGCGGGCGGCGCTGGCGCCGCAGCCGGGCCTGGGCCTGCGGCCCATCCGCCCAGCGCTGGTGCCGCAATTTAGCGGTGGCGGCGTTCGCACCGGCATGGGCCCGCAGGGGCCGACCATCAGCGTGCAACACCTGATCGAGCGGCACCACGCGGGGGGATGCGCGCCGCCTGACGCCGCCCTTTTCCGGCGCCGGCCGCCGGCGGAGCTAGGGGCCGTGCCGCAGGACCCGCAGTACCGCGAGATGCTGGCGCAGATCTCCAAACTGAGCAAGCCGCCCGGCGTGGCGTCGGCGCCCAGCTCGGCGGGCGAGGTGACGATCCACCACGTGGGTGCGCCACCGCCGCCGCCGCAGCAGCCGCCCGGCGCTTCGGACGCGGCCGCGGCCGGACAGCCACAGTCCAGCCTCGCCAAGCTGCTCATGGAGTCCAAGATGAAGCAGGGGGAGCCTGCTATGCTCAACGAGATGCTGAAGGTGATTTGCGGGGTGGTGCTGCGCGGGAGACGCGGGGAGCTGCGGCCGGATGATTGGCTGGCCAGGGGATGCTCTCCGGACTGCAGTTCAGGTGGTCCGCTGTTCAGGTTGGCGGTAAAAACGCATAGCGGGTCGATGTTTCTAGATTTGAAATTCGTTTTGCATGGGGATGTCTTGCTTACTTGTCTTGAAAGAGAGCCAGCTTCAGACCAGGCTGGGTTGTTCGGACATTATGGTGATAGTGACGTCACCCATCGAGCCCCTATAATGCCTTGTGACCTGTTCGCGGTGATCCGTGTTGGGCGCCCGGTGCTGTAGCCCGCCATGAGTGTGCGTGTTCCTTGTACGTGATGCGTCTGCGTGGGTGTTCTGAACTTGTTTTGTGCCCCGTTTTAGGTTGTGGTGTGCTTCGTTACTTGTGCTTTACTCTAAATGCGTTGTTCCCACCCTGTTTTGGTGATTCACCTGGTTTGCTGCTTTTCTCTTGTCATGCTCCCGGACCGGTGTGCTCTTGTCTGACCGCCTCTTCCCTGGCGGGTGTGCTTAGTTGTAGCGGCCAGGTAGGCTGGCCGTCATGTTCGTTATAGTTGCTCCGTGGCCCGACTTCTGCGTCCGCCTCGAATCCGTCCGTGCCGCCGCGTCTCACGTGTGCCGTACCCGACGTCCGGCCGGCGGTGCTGGTCGTCGCGGGCGCGTGTCTGAGTACGCCTGATGTCAGCTTGCAAGGCCTGAGTACTCCTGATGCCGACGGTTGCAGTGTCTGACTACGCCTGATGTCAGCTGCAGTGTCTGAGTACGCCTGATGTCGACAGCTGCGGCCGCTCTCGCAGCTGACGGCCGCCGTGTTCCAGCAGCCACAGATGTTGGTCCGGCCTGCGGCGGCTGGGCCGCGAGTTTCCGCGCCGGCACCGTCGCCGGCGGCAGCGTCGCAGCAGCAGCCGCTGCGGACCTCCGCCCCGCCGCTGCCGCCGCCGCCGCCGCCGGCGGCGGCTGAAGACGTGCCGCTCTGCCAGGGCTGCCGCATACGGCCGGCGCAGTTTGTGTGCGCCGGCTGCGGCAACCAGTGGTATTGCTCCCGCGAGTGTCAGGTACGCAGTTTGGTCTCGGGGCTGGCCACGGCAGGGAGGACTCTAGTGGCGCTGCTCACCGGCTGTGTCGGGTGCTGGGTAATCCGGAAATTGCTGGCGGGGTTTTCTCGTTTTAGGCGTCGACTGTGCGCCTCTCGGCGGAAGCGGGGTCATGATGTTTTGCAGGGCCGTGTCGACTGTGATGCATCTCGTTCCGGGCGCTGGCACCGGTGGGAGCTCTGCCGTTGGGCCGCGCCGGCGCGCGCTGCGGCCTGCCGTGCCGGCCGTCTGACGCCCCGGCCTCCGCCGGCAGGTGGCAGCGTGGGACAGTCATGCGGATGACTGCTCGGGCTGAGTCGGCCGGCCGGCGACCGACGCTGCCAGAGGGACCACGCCACGCTCACCGGCTCGCCGCCCCCGCCCCGCCCCGCCCCGCCGCGTGCAGAGCTTGGTGCCGGCGCTCGCTCACCGCGGGACGCCATGTTGTGTGTATAGAGGGGGAGGGACAATCAGCTGTCGTTAATCATGTTGTATGAGTTCAAGGCGCGCTGTGCGGGATTTGTTGTTGTTGAGGTGAACGCGGCTGTTGTTGGCGCCGACACCATTGACTTTTATGTACAATAAGTGTGGACACGCTCAGATCTGATGCGACGTGGCTCGCAGAGCCTCTATTTTGTGCGGTATTTTCTGTCCCCAGCTATTTTACTATTTATGATAATCGGCGCAACACTCGCCGGGCCGGCCCGCGTGCTGGCAGCCCGCGCGCGTGCGTTATGTTGCCGGCGGCTTTTACATCACTGGCTTGTGCCATGGCGATCGTTGGGCGTTGACGGGATGTGCATGTATGTGCCCTGATGTTGTGAATACATTTGGAGGGTTCTGACTGTGTGTCTGGGCCAGCGCTCAGTAATTTAACCAGTCGCGGAATGCGTTGAGCCTTGAGCTTTCCAGCATCATAGCGTACGTTTTCTGCATCGAGGTATTTTTTATTTCGAATGAGCAGAAAGGAAGGAAGGTTGCAGCGATCAGCCACAAATAACGCTAAAAACTGACGTCGCTTAACAATGAACTTGTTAGCCTACAACACATGGCGATCGATCGACCGCGGCGTCTTTGGCAGGCGCGCTAATGCCGACGGACATAATGCCCCGGGACCACCAGCAATCGCGACATCACGCTCACCGCCTGGCGGGGACGAACGGTCCGAGCCGCTGCCGTGGGACCCGGGACCACGCGCGCGGGCGGCCGCTCGGGCGCCGCAGCGGCGGCGGCGCGCGCCGCTGGCCGGCTGCCAGAGCCGCTGCATGCTCTAGCGCTGGAGTGCGAGCCGCGGGCAGACTGGTCACCCCGTGTACCGGTCGCCGCTGCTGTGAGCTGTGATTGGCCGCACCTTCCGGTCCCAGACGACGATCACTGCAGCGCGGGAGGAAGCCCGGCGAGGCGCTCTCGGTGTCGGGTCGAACCCTCACGGCCACGAGCGCTCACGGACGACGTTCTCAGCCTTTTCGGATCGGTCTATTGCTCGGCCCGGCCGTGCAGCGGGAGGGGAGCGTGCGCCTCACTATCCCCGTCCCCGCCCGCGGGCCAGCTCCGCCCCACCTGTGCCCATGGACCCGAACAGCGCGGCCACCCTCGAGCATCGGCGCCGGTACGTGCCGCTTCATCTGGCGTCCGAGCGCAGGCTGAACTTCATCGTCATGCGCTCGTAGTTGCGCCGGATCCAGGTGAAGTAGTTGGCAACGCTGGTGTACATCTGCGGCTCGGCGTCGTCGTCGCAGTCGGCGGCCCATGAGACGACGCCGTACAGGTAGTAACGACCGGAGGCGGCCATGCAGGCCAGTGGACTACCGCCGTCACGTGCGATCTGAAACACCGGGCACGTCAATCGACCGGCCTCGAGAGGTCAGGCCGGCACGGTGCAGGTGGCTGATAAATCGGCTTGTATCATATAAAGGGTGCGCGCGCGCGCGCGCATGTGTGGTGTGTGGTGTGTGTGTGTGTGTCCGACTCAGCCGAAGCGTTGTCGTGCCGTAAGCATCGGCAGCGCCG